AGCGGCGCGACGCCAAGTATATAAAGTCGGGTGATGACTTGTGAGTATACGACACTGGCACTGTCGAAGCGCTACCGCTAACTTTATCTCGAAGTTTTGCCTTGTCAAATTTCCGATTTCAATATCTCGGATACGAAAGTTCTAATGAAAAATCTAATGACACTTTCGCTATATAATGTCGATATGAGCTTTCGATTGAGACCAGTCCGAATGAAATCGGTACAGTCAATCCCGAGATCTCGAAATCGAGTCTACGAAAATCTACGAAAATGCCACTTTAGCGATTCTAGTTTTCGTCTTCTTATTCTTATTCAGACAGTCCACCAAGGCGCATTCACAACGCGAGCGACTGTCGCGTCAAGATGTGGGGTTCTTATGTGGGGTTCTTATATGAGATTGAGAGATTATTTCAAATGTAAAATTCACGTTAAATAAATATTTAAAAAATATTAAATAAACGTTTAAAAAATGTATACTCAAATCATTATTGCAAATGTAAAATTAACGTTAAATAAATATTTAAAAAATGTTAAATAAACGTTTAAAAAATGTATACTCAAATCATTATTTCAAATGTAAAATTGACGTTAAATAAATATTTAAAAAATGTTAAATAAACGTTTAAAAAATGTATACTCAAATCATTATTTCAAATGTAAAATTAACGTTAATTAAATATTTAAAAAATGTTAAATAAACGTTTAAAAAATGTATACTCAAATCATTATTTCAAATGTAAAATTAACGTTAAATAAATATTTAAAAAATGTTAAATAAACGTTTAAAAAATGTATATTCAAATCATTATTTTAAATGTAAAATTAACGTTAAATAAATATTTAAAAAATATTAAATAAACGTTTAAAAAACGTTTTTTAGAAATCATTATTCTAAACAAATATTTAATAAAAAAAAATATTAAATAAATGTTAAATAAAAGATCGGAAGAGCACACGTCTGAAGTTCAGGTAAATGAAAAAAAAACATTTAAAAATATTGTGCTGATTGGGTAATTTTACGTTTAAGAAAATGAAAATTTTAGTATGCATTTTTAAAACGTTTAAGAAAATTAAATTTCAGTATACATTTTTTAAACGTTTATTAAATATTTTTGAAATATTTATTTGTCATTAATCTTACATTTGAGAAAATGATTTGATGAGTAAACATTTGTATAATGTTTATTTAATATTTTTTCAATACGTATTCTTCATTAAATTTTCATTTGAGAAAATAATTTCAGTAAATATTTTTTAAACGTTTAATTAATATTTATTTAATGTTTATTTTTGAATTTATTTGCATCTGTAAAATAAATTACTTAATAGTTATTAAAATTTTGTTGACACATTATTATAGTGTTAATAATTATTTTATGATAAAGTCTTATTAAATTTTGCTCTCATATTTAAAAAATATAAAATATGCTTATTGTTTCAATGGTTTTCCTATAAAAATAATGTAACAAAAAACGAAGACAAAAAATATTTATTATACTTGTTTATTAACCTTATATATAATTTATACTGTCAGTATAACGTATAGTTATTTTCGAAAGGTACGCGAGCCATTATGCAAATAGTGCGCGCGCATGCGCGCGCGCGAGCTATCGAGGCGACTCGACACGAGCGCGAGCCGAGCACTACGGAGTACAGAGCAAGTGGTTTGACTGGATGACTGGCTTATTTCATCGTCAGCTGTTATTTCGATCGCATATACGTTTCATTTTTACGTGTTCTGTTCGATTGCGTCTTACTCGGTGTGCCGGTTTGTGTCTGCCCAGCCTTAAATTGTGGATCCGTTTCTTTTCGGTACAGGACAGGAACTACTACATCTAAGAATAATCTCAGATAAGTAAGGTTATATCGGATAAATCCATACGAAAAGTTTTATTCCATCTATTTTGATAGTTTTTTGCGTTTTATTTTGTAACTTTAGTATTAAATTTGCTATTGTGCACAAATGGTTTTGTCTAGATTCCATCGTCAACTCTCGTCACGTCGTCGTCATCTCAATCGCACGTGCACGTTTTTTTACGTGTTCTGTTGCGGCTGTGTGTGTGTGTGTGCCACTCTTTATTCTGTCCATTTCTGCCTGCCTTAAATTGTGAATCCATTTCTCTTGGTACAAGGGTGGGAATTACTATATCTCTAATTTTTTACGCTCTGAGAAGAGGTTATATACGTGATCGGGTATAAGTCCATACGAAATGTTTTATTCTGTGCTTTCTAGCTTTTTACATTTTATTTTATAAATTTAATATTAAATTTGCAGTTACTTCTAGTACTAGTTACTTCAACGCGTTGTCTGTGAAATATTTGATATTAATTAATCTCTTTCAGACTGCGCGGGTTTTACATGAAATGTCTAATTTATTTTTGATGATATTAACTTTAACGTTGCTTACGTTTTATTAAAATAATTGAGAATTATTAT